AACTTGCTGCTACTGCAACACTTAATGCTCACAGTACCGAGTCATCTTTAATGCAAACACACATTTTCTGCCTCGCTTCTATGTTTTCCATTATAATGCAACACGAAAACAGTGTACATTTCATTCCATCCCTATGAGGTTTGCATAAGCAGTTCCAAGTCAGACTAAATATTGTATTGCTCTTATTACAGTGAATAAATATTTTAAAGTTTACGAATTAAATATTTTATTTTTTCAGTATGCTCTCTTAACTATTAAGAACTTTTTACATCTTTCTCATTCATGGGAAATCTTTAGGGTTTCCTTTTTTAAATGTAATATTATTATTTGTTTCCCCAAACAGAAGCAGATCAGAGTTAACAAATAAGTTCAATAAATCATTTTATACTTAGTGTTAATATGAACAGCATGCTTATTCATATAAAGAGACTTTTCTATGAGCATGTATCTTTTATTATAATAAAAGTTTTCCAAAAAAAGAATTAAGTAAATGTTACATCTTTAAGTGTACAATTTCTCTCTTCATTTTTATAATCATTAGCATAGATTTTCTTGGCATACGTCTTTTTACTTGACACAGGTATTTCTCACACTAAATTAAGACAACACATCAGAAGAAGAGCATGTCCTGAGCTGTTTGGTTGAAATTTCCCACAAAACAAGAAACCAAGAAGCTTTTATACTTTTGCCTTAAAAGAAGCAGACTAATTATGTTAACTGATTTATTAATATATGAAGTTCTTTGTCCAATTATTAAAAGTACAAAGAGACCAGGGAGCAATTTAAATGTCTAATGTACCTCAAAATCTTTTTTTAAAGGTTAATTATAATTCTAAGCAAAGCTACTCTAGATAGGCCCCTTAGGTTTTATGCAGGTTTAAGTAAAATAATAATAATAATAACATTACCTCATTGGCCAGCTCCAGGAGCACTGGGGCAGCTCCATTTTTCCCCACTCCACTCAGGTACCTAGACAAGACAAAGCCAAGCGGTAATGCAGTGACAAGAAAAGGCCAGCATAGACTTGTCGGCATCCCCTGTGTGTACACGTTTCTCCTGGGCAAATGCCACACTTAACTCTAGTTAAAGTATGCTACTGTCATAGGAAAGCATGGAAGGGAAAAGGAGAACAAAACAACTTCAAAACCGCTGGCAACTAACTAACAGAAGTTGGGGGAGGAGGTATGAGCACATTGGTTCCCCCTGTTTTTACTTCCCAACATGTAAAGTGAACAGAGAGGTGATTTTAAAAAGAACTATCCCTATCACCCTAGCTTTACCTATACCAGAACCATCTCATAGAAAGGAAATAAGTTTGCTCTTAGAGTTCAAAAAAAAGCATCCATGTATATACCCGTATCATCTTTTCATTACTTCTGTTTCATAGGATTGGTTGAAATCTTATTAAGAAAAAGAGAAAATGGAACAGACTTGTCATCACTGGGTCAATACAATTGTAGTAGGCAATACAAGCCATCGTCTCACTGGCCTTGGATTTCTGTCATAACCTTCAGCTCTCCTTATTCCCTAACCCCACGAAACAAACAAACATCCTCCCCAAATCCATCTCAAACATGGAGTCCAAAGTGGTTTTTTAAAAACGAAAATTTGAATGTTATCATTCTCCTCCTTAAAACATTTCAAATCCTCCACATTAAATCTTAGCTCTTATAAGGTTCTTCAAAATCTGGTTCCTACCTGCTTTATCTGGCTAGCCTCATCTCTACAGTGTTCCCCTCTACAACCTTCACCTGGAGAACTCATAATTCTGCTTCATATCGTATTTGCCTAACTACTTGTCCATCACAAACCCATCCCCCACTATAAGGCCAAAAGCCACTTGAGGGTAGAGGAATTGCATTTTCTTCAATTTATTATGCCTAGCACAGTTCTTGGCTTATAATAGGTGATGATATTATACATATCTAGTTTTTCTTTAATAAATGATAACATATTCTTTTAAAAAGTAAATATTTTTAAAGCCTTACTAAGAAAATAGAATTAGATATAGACATTTTCTGTATACTCTTTGAGTGAATAAATTAATAATATTTATTTGATAGTAAAAATCTAAGTCAATAAACAAGGTCTTCAAAAAAACTGCTGGAAACAGATACTAAATTATGTTATTTCACAAGTATGCTTATAAAGATGTATAATTTTCCTATAAACAAAGTGGAATAAAAGCTAATTATTCAAGGTGAGGAGAGTCTCAGGATCATTATAACTTCAAAGTAATTCTAACAAGTCCATTTTCCATATATTCAGGTCTTTCTTGAATAAATTGTTTAGAAATCTAACTTGGAAATAAGTACTTTCAGAAGCAAAGAAAACGAAAAGGCAAGTGTGCTTTAGAGAAAGATTCCTGAAAAATAGATCATTTAGGAACTTCGTGTCAACTTACAACATTTCCATTGCATGGATAGCTCAGCTCAAGGAATGACCAATCAGTTCAGTCAAGTAAGACCAACTGTGTGTTTGTAACCAACAAAAGTACACATTCATTAAGGGTTTAGATTCTGAGTCAGAGTCATTAAACCTATCCTGATATTAAAATATCTTTATGACTTTCTACTCACCATTTGTTTACCCCACAAATATTCTTGAGAGCTAACTATATGTGGAGCCTTATTCCAGATTCTGAAGCAGCAGCGGGGAACAAAATTTCCAAGATTCTCGCTATCACAGAGATTATATTACATCAAAGAGACAGACCACAAAAAGATAGAAAAACAAATACATAATGATATAAGCTACAATAAAACAGGTGGAGATTGTTGGTCAGGAAGCCCATTTCTAAGGAAGTGACACTTGAGTAGAGACTTGCAAGAAGGAAAGTGGGCAGCCCATGGGATGAAGAGCTTTCTCAGCAAGAGATACTGTGAAGTTTCAGTTAACCATGATGGAACTGCATTCTGGAGTACACAGTTTTAAATACAGACTTCGAATTCTTGATTGAGATCATCTCAATGCTAGCTACAATGTAGAGACTCAGGAATTCCCTGATATTACTAGTAGGAAACCACTGCACCCTTTCTAGACAGTAATTTGACGACATATAATAAAATCTTTAAATGTTCATTGTTTATACCAGTAATGATATAGAAATATTAAGAAACTAATCCAAAATTCAAAAACATATGCACCATCACATCAGAACATTGAAAACATGTATGTTCAAGAGATGAATAATTCAGTAAATTATGATACTTTCATATGATTAAGTAATGCAATCAATAAAATACTTACAAAAAGCTTTCTACAAAATAATAGTATGTCATATACATTCTTTCAGTATAAAATTCCAGATTCACAATTGCATATATATAGTATGACCTCAGCTATATAAAAATGGGTTGACAAAAGACTAGAATGAAAAATATCACAGTGGTTATCTCTGGGTGCCACAATGAAGGGCAATTTTCATTCCTTTTTTATACCATCACGAATGTGTTTAATTTTCACAAAAATTTCCTTTTTATAAAAGAAAAAAAATTAAATAATTTGTTAACATTGTCAAACTGCTAAAATGTGTTTTGATATAATATACTTTGCCTTTAATCTAATCAGCTGGAAAACAAAAATCTTTTAAGGCCAATTTACCTTAGACAATAAAGGGACATTCAACATGCACGTTTAGAACAAGAGGCCTATGAGGTCAATCCATCTGAAAGGTAACCACACAGCCCATCTCCAAGCACAAAGCGCAGGGCAGAAAGTCAGTGAGCAGCGTGGTGAAGTAAGAAACTAGTCAGACTGCTCTCCTATTAGTCTGTCCATTACAGCCTGTTTTTGCTTCAGATGTGACACCTCGAAATAACCAAGACTCTCACATTTAAATAAAGGTACAGAAATACAAATATATTTCTGTATTCTCATTATTATCCACCCAACTGTTCATCACCGAGTAACCATACAAAAAGGAAAGATTTTTATTTCTGACCTAAACTACCCAGATAATTCAATGAAGTATATTCATAATTAAATATACTTCTTAATGAAACTAAGATTTTAAAAAGCAACACTTAGAGATCTTAGAAATCATCTATTGAAACAGCCTATTTACAGTAAAAAAAAAAAAGGGTAGCCTAATGGCCTGAGAGTAGATCTCCAAATTTTCAGGAGATGGTCTATCTTCCTTAACTTAGGCTAACAAGGCTTTAAAATCTTAACAGAGAACTGTACTTTTATATGATGGCCTAAGATTATAATTTTTACAAACGAGAATGTATTTTTTGACATGTGAATAACTTTTTAGTCTTTCTTTGGAGGGTCTGGATGTCAAAGCAGTTGTCAGCTTCACAGTACTTTACGGGTCGTTCTTAATTTTATACGTATGATTTAACTTATGACTTTATTTTAAATGTTAATTTCACTATGGAGATTATGACTTTTAAATAAATCAATTCAAACTTTACAAAGATTTGTTTAGAGAGAAATTCTCCTATACACAAAAGTGTGTGTGTATGTGTAGTATGTGGATATTGCTTTTTAACAGACACTACTACTGAAAACTGAAGATATCTTTTATCATATACAACACAGTGTATAATATTTTAGAAAATCTAGCTTCAATAACCTTTTTCAATAAATACCTCTCAGTTTTTAAAAATGACTTTACAGAAGCATGTCACCAATATTTTATGTATGTGGTAATTTCATTCATAAAATTTTCATGCATAAAAATCATTCATCTAAAATTAGTGGTGTCACTCTCACCACAGGCAGGTTGATCTGTCAATCTTAAGTGTAATAACTTAAGAGCATATTTCAAACAGTTTTCCTTTCCAATATGCCCTTGAAATATTTAAGAAACCAGCCAATAATTTCCAATGCAAACCATTACCATTTACCAGTATAAATTATTCAGTCATGTTACAAAGCCAATACAATTTTTAGAATTTTTAAAAAAGAACTATTTAAAATATTCTGTTTGTTGTAGAACAGAGTTTGAAAACTATAATAAATTAGGCTGAAATTAAAATACCCCCTGGACACTATGGTGTTGATTTAATGCCCAAGATTTTCTTTTTAAAATCTAAAACCCTTTTTACAATGTGACAGTTACACATTACGATATATTTCCATATGTCCTTACCTGACATATGTCTTTTTTTAAATGGCTAACACAATACCTATAATGCAAAATACAACTGCACCAAAATTCAATCTTATTTTCTAATATTTTTCAACTTGGTAATCTAAATGAGAAATACATGAAAAATTAGTTTGAGAACTTCCACACATACATATAGATGTATGTTCGTATGATCATGTACATCTATACAAGGTATGCACTTACAGTAAGTTCCCAGTATGCAATTGAGATTCCATAATATCGTAAAGATTTCCTACATAGTATGTATCCACACACTTAATCAAGATGGTCTCACCATATTCTTCTACGAAACAAAGCATTTGAGAAATCATTCAAGAATATATTTGAAGTCTTAAATAACAGACTTAAAACAAAATGCTTTGGAATGTTATATAAAAAATCAATTTAGTAACCTAATTTATTCATAATTATTATTACAATTAATAGGTACTATGATACCCTCTAGTGGGGCAGGCAGGTCATACCTCTGGTAATAACTTTCAATCGCTTCTGAAGTATGATGTTTGGCATGTGTTCTTTTAATATGTTTCTGAAACAAAACAAAAAAGATCATTATGTTGTGTCACAGATGAGGTTCGAGAACAAAAATGACATATCTCTTCATCCCAACATCTAGCACATCGGGCAAACTGAGTAACAGTTTGGGGATTTTGGTGGTGGTAGGTCTTTTTCCCTTCTACTCGAAGAACCTATGCATTTTAATTTCCAAGCTTGGCTGGGATGTCTTCAGACGACCACAGGGTACAGTATATATGTAAAAGCCAATAGGGTCATAGTAATTGAATCTAAATAAGTTTGCTTAGGGTTGCAGAGGGCAAAGAAAAACTTGTTCCCTCTTGCAACCTTTGTATTAATTTTCCCTCAATTCAATTCCATCTAAGTCCTCTGCACTCTGGTTTTACAATCCAATTGCCATTCTTAACCAGGACGAACATTGCTTAAAAACAACTTATTTGAAAACTACAAAAAGTAATTCCATAGAGACTTGCCACTTGACTGACACCTGTCATCTCATGATAAATGACTCCATTTTCTGCCTCTCTTGCCTTCTGCCACTCCAGCAATGGTCATTTATCATCATCTCTGTCAGCAATGGAAAGCGGCACTGACAGTGCAAGTCAGCAAACATTTAGCACATGGAACCACGCAACACAGGGAAATTATTATTGTCAGAATAATAATGGTTTAGCATAATTTATTACAGGTCCACCAAATAAGCAAAGGCTAGATGTTATTAGACAGATGGATGGGTAGGCTTGGCAGGCCTCCACTGAGACGCAGGCGGTGCTTGATGTGGAAAGGAGAACATCCTCCAACCCAATCAGAGAGCTGGCAGTTCAATTACAAAGAAATAAAGGGACATTCATCATTCAATTAGGCACCTGTCAACCCTCACAAAGGAGAAAACTTCTAACCTGGTACTCCTGGGAGAAGATGCTCAGCAGAGTGGCCTGCGATTGACTGGAACAAATAAAAGAAGGACAAAGTTAATTACTGGAGTGCATGGCGAAGAAACAAAAGAGAAAGGAGCTTCAAAGGTAGGCCTGCTGCCCTGTAATCTAACAGAACATGAAAACAAGTGTGGAAAAGTTGTTCCAGATGAACACCTCAAACAAAGGCTTCCTGCTGCTAGGTCAAGGAGAGAAAAAGGGAAAGGGGGAAATGTGGATGATCTCAAAGCCAACTATCATATGATTTGGATTTTTTTTAAACTTTAGAATGATTGTAAATCATATCTGTAGCATACAATGGTGTTAAAAGGAACTGAAAGAAGCCAAGGTTTATTTCCATTAATAAGTGGGAGAGTTAAATCCCATAAACAGTATGAAACACGCAGTTTGTTCACTGGAAACATTCTGAAATTTATTTTGTTAACAGACAGGTATCCTCTTGAGCTATTTCAGATTCAGGGGGAAAAAAAATTTGGTATTCACTAAAAGCAGCACAGAGACCACTGGAATATCCCCATTCATACTGGAGTGCTTTGAAAATAGAAGTTTTCACAGCAGGAAGCTGAGGTCCTTGGAGTATGTCATTCCCAAAGATTGTCATAGCCTTCTTCATCTAAGATTCTACGCAATGTCAAACACCTGGCAATGAAGCAACCTGCAAAACATTCCTCCCAAGTGGGAACTTGCCTCTCACAATTGCTAACATTTAAAAATGGAAAAGAATTTTTTCTTCTCTGAAAAGCAATCAATACCCTACTGCTACTCTTTTTGATTGCTCTCTGTAGATATATCTACCTTATAATATCTTGATAACAATTATCTCTGATATATTTTCCTACTAAATTCTATCTGAACAAATTACTGTGTTAATAATTCAACTTTTATAGTACACCAAAGCACTGTGAATAATTAATTTTTTTTTTCTATTCAAGAATGAAATCTCTTAAGCTCATCACAGGTAATTTGGGGAATGTGAAATGAAAACAATGACACCATATTTCTTTATTCACTATCTCAGTGTTGTCATTTTCTGCATTCCATCATAGGTTTGGCTTCTAACTTCTTTCCGCTCTTACCAGATTACAAAAGAAGATGTTAAAAAAGTACCACAAATGTTTACTAAGGCAAACTGATAATTACTAAAGGACAGTTTCAGTAACTAAAAATCACTGAGAAATGACTGAATACAATTACAAATTCATTATGGTTCCATTTTTTTTTTCAATTTTCCTTAAAAAATGGAAACCACTCTTGAAAAAGCCAATTTTATATACATAATCTTCCTATTATGCCTGAGTTTCACATGCAAATCACATACAGTAGCAGGGTTGTTGACAAACTATCTTCTAAAAAAATGAAAAAATTAAGCCGTAATCTTTATAAACCACTGAGTAGGCCAATATTTTAGGTATTTTTGTGCAATAAATGAAGCCCTCTGCAGTGTACAGCAAATATATATTTATATTAAACATTTAATGGTAAACAAAATGTCAGTCTCAATGTGTCAAAAGATATGATGGAATTAAATGTGCCTGTAACGCTCAAGTCAGAAACTAATGACTAAGGAGAAGGAAACTAAACTGTGGATAAAAGAGAAGTGTAACTGTAGCTGCTCAGTATGGTAAGACTAAAGGACAGCTGGAGAAGTAAGTCCTGGAGTAAATACTTCAAAGTGAGAAGGTGGTCAGGAATTGAGAGTACTGAAGGACAACATAATATATTTAGCTAAGAAAATGTCTTTAAACTGCTTATAATTCAATTCGGCTAAAACCATGTAAGTCTACAGAGCAACCCATTTTCTCAGTGGCCAAATGGATTAAAGAGAAGATTCTAGCTTACACTGGAAGTAAAAACTGGCTAAACTTAAAAAGAGAAAACAACTTACTTAACATGGTAAAAACAGAAAGACCTGGGTCCAAAATGCTTTGGGTTTGGTTGACTAGACAAAGCCATAGCAAAATAAATGACCTCTGCTAGACAATTTGTCAGCCTAATATCTGTTCCTCTGTGTGCTAAGCTTATAAGAGAGGGTTCTGAACAAGCCTCACACCATAAAGAGCAGGAAAGTAATTTTAGTGCAACCAAGACATTGACTCCAGTGTATATATTCTTTCTTACTTTCTTCCAATGTTTTAAGTCTGAGGTCTATCTTGAACACCACAGTCGGTCAGCAGTATTCACTTAGTATCTACAATGTTCTATAGTAACAGGCATGGGAAACCATACCATCAAAATAAAAAATTATATGAGGTGAACATGAACTGACTTAGAGGAAACTTTTAATACACATGCGCGCGCACACACACACACACACACACACACACACACACACAAATTAGAACTGTGTATTCATATATTTTTTAGGGATTTGATAAAGTAAACCATACCTTGAATCCTCACATATTTCAAGACTGCGCTGGCTTTGGAACACACATGCCTCACTTAGCATATAAATTTACACATTCAAAAATACAATCACTTAATTTGCACAAATGCCCAAGATATATTATTAAAACCATAAAAAGTTTCTTTTTTTTTTCCCCCCTTACTACTCTCCCAAATTAAGTTCTTCCCCTAATCTGAGAAAAGAAGAGTATGCAAATAGATCCCTAGAATTGCTATATAAAACCTTGCCCAAGTGACAAATGGCTCTATGGAACAGCAGCAGTTATGTTGCAGCAATGGAAAAACAAGCAATGAGGACCAAGCCAATGCAACGAGGGCAGCGGGACAGAAAGCGGCAGGAGCCTGGGTCCTTGAGGACACTGTTGAACTGCTCAAGAGGCCATGAATTGAACTGGTCAGCCTTTGTATGTCTTTTGAGTAGTAATACATGTCTTTTTTTTAAACTCTCAAAAACAAAGAAAAAAAAAAACTGCCCAGGGTTTTATGTGCCCTGGTAAGGAGACATAATGGAGTAAGGGCTCCATCACGACGGTACGTGTCCAGGATGCAATACATGAAAGTGGCTGTCCATCTTTACACTTTCTAATTCTCTTCTCAGCGGAAGTTATGATATTGGGCTTCCTTAAAATTGTTCCTCTGTCGCCATGTCACTAAATTGATGTGCCTAGAAATCATAAATTGGTGTGTGTGTATGACTTTTCCATACAGTTTTAAACATTGATGAGGTAGTATTTACTCTCATTTTATAGTACATTCAAGACTCCACAAATGCCATGTATGTAAACAGGCAACAAGCCAGTTTCCCATACATTATTTAACTCAACATATCCCCAGACCCACCCAGCTAAGATATTCAGTAACCTGAAGGATATTAGAGAAAATGAACATCAGAGGGTTATATGGGTGCAGCGCAGACTGAGAGCAGATCTCAGTATAGACTTAGTTGTAACATTCATGAGAGGGGAGTCCTCATGTTCTCAGATAGAGACTTAAAATAAGTAGAATTTTAAGGAAGATAGCACACATTTTAAGTCCTTCCTCTTCTCAAGTACCCAACCTCTGAAAAAGACCATAAAGAAATAAATACCAATTTTTAATTTTCAAGCTACTTTTGCTACAGAATCTAGGAAGCTTTAATGTCTACATTCCACTGGCCTCGAAATTATCTGAGCAAAATGGTTACTATTTTGGGGACTCTAGGAGCAGTAAACCAATTAAAGGGAGATTAGGCAAGATACTTCTACAGAGCATTAGGCTTGGAGACCTCACAATTACAACCTCTCTAAACCTGTGAAAGAATAATGAAACAATGGTTCTCTGTAGTTAATGATTCAGAGTACTGGTCAAGGAAGGTTTCTGTGAAAGCAACACATCTACCCACTCTCACACCCCGCATCCCCCTTACACACACCTAAACGCAAACTTAAAACGTAGAACCTGTTTTTTTCCTCCCTCGAAATCAAAATGAAATTCAATAAAAGATCAAAACTTAGTACAAAAATTCCGCTGTGTTTTTCAGGGACATACCATGCAAGATTGAAAGACTCTGAAGAGAGATTACCGATACTCTGTGAAATTACTACAGAGAGGAAAGGAAAAAATATTTAAACTAAATTCAAGAAACAGAAAAATGTATCCATCACACCTTCCCCTCATTTCTTCTTTCTAATTTCCAACTTCATATCAAAGATGCAGACTATATAATCATAGCAAATAGTCACACAATTGACTACATAGATGACAGCACTAATCTTAATAATAATCTACTAAAAAAAATTCTTAAAAGCTATATTTACATTATATATATAGGAAAAAAGTTGTTACTGCCCCAGTCACTTAATTAATTTTGCTGATAAACTTAGGTCACATCCAAAACTCCTCTACAAGACGTGGGATTTATATGAACACCTACTTTGTGCTTGACATTATACTGAGTACTTTACCCTCGACAGTCCTCTGAGGTAGGTCTTTATATTAAAGATGGAGAAATGAAGGAAGAAAAGTTAAGTGAAATGCAGTTAAAGAGCTAAGTAAGCAGTAGAGCTGGGAAACAAATCCATATCCAGTACCAAAATCCAAACTCTTAACTCCAATGCTAATTCGCTTTCCTTACAGTTCTCAGAAATCAGTTTTGCATGTCATATGTGCTAATATCCCTGCTCAAGCATTTACATGATGTTACATTACCCTCCACACAACCCTGCTAAGTGGGCATTGTTGGGTTTCTGACAGAAAATTGAAGCCAAAGTTCAAGCATTTTGATCAAATTCCATAGCCTGAGATAATATTCCCTTTAAAACAAAAATCAAATTATTTTCCCTCCACTTAACTATATAAAATGCTGTTCTTTTCTGGTGTGTGTTGAAAGTTAAAGAAACTATTAACTACAGAAAACAATCCAGGATTTAAAAATTGTTGGGTATTTCCATTATTCTCCCTACAGCTAAAGCATATTTTGTTAAGAACCTCGTCATTGCCTGCAGTGTCTCTATGTGATTGCAAATGTGTCTTTTGCTCAAATGCTACTTACTGCATATAAAGCAGCTTTAAATCTTTCTCTGAACAACACAGGTATAAACTCAATCAATCTCTATAGAGGACAAT